GGTTGGATGGGGTTTGGAGAAACCTGGTCTAGTGGAAAGTGTCCCTGCCTATGGCAGGGGGTGTTGGAACTGGATGATCTGTAAGGTCCCTTCCAACCCAAACCATTCTTTGATTCCGTGATTCTGTGGCTCCAGGCTTTGAAGGACAAGCAGTGACAGATTTTGCCCATTTTCTGGCATACGTAATTCTGAAAGGCTTTTCTTGGCCCACCCACTGCCTTACCTGGAAGTATGTCGCAAAGCTGGGCTGTGACTGCTGTCTCCTGAGATCTCCCTTTATCTGCCTGTTGTGCACAACTGGGGGTATGCAGGACTGGAATTCTGTCCACTTCATCATGTCTCTCACACAGTTTTGGAACCATTACATCCACTTGTGAAAGTTTTTTGGGGTTCTTTTTTTTTTTTTTTTAAATCTTTTCATGAAGACCACAGAAGCTATTAGAGCTGAGCAAATAACCCACTGCAAGTAATTTATTCAATTTGTTCTGTTTCAGCTTCATTTAAAATTTTTATAGAGGTTTTGTTACAGTCTGTGGTTTGAGTAATTAAATGAAAGAGGTCAGGAATGATCACGGGAATTCAGGACATACTCTTAGATCATTTTTGACTCAGTGTGCACAGTCATCAATTCTCTTTTCTAGGCAATAAAAGCATACATTTTACGTGCAAATCATCATAACCGAATACTTGGACTCAATGTTCCACAATTTAAATTTCAGAAATACGTTCTAATATTTGCCTTAAATTATGAAAAGACAGTAACAGCTGTAAACACAAGATCAACAGGCTATTTGCAGAAAACAGAGAGGGAACTTAAAAATCAGGTAATATTTTCAATTATTGAATGTTGAAAAAAAGATATTAAGGGGTTTTCTCAGCTCTGATACCTACATTGCAGCATTAAGGACAGGTCAGATTCTGGTCTTCACCACCCTGAACAGTGTGCCACTCTCTGACACATGTTCTCTGGTACTGCAGCACAACTGGAAATATTTAGCATTATTATCTACATAACAAGTACACAGTAGAGTCAAATAGCTTAGTTCTCTTGATTCACTCACCTTACAGGCAAGGTCCTGTCCCCTTTCCTCCTGTCCATCTCCCTTTGGGGAACCGGATACCAGCGGAAGTTCAGTTTCCAGTTAAACCCTCCGTAAGTCATGTCAGATCCAGCCATGTATTCAAAAGTGTCATCACTGATCACATCAATGATTGGGCAGACAACAGTTTTCCTGTAAGGAAAAAATAGGGCTTTTTTAAACAAAACAGATTTTCGTGGTAGTAAGAAAGAGTAAAAAACTCACAGTATTGATGGCCACGTAGACATTATTATTCCTACTGTCAGCAACATAAATCCTGCTGTAAGAATCAAAAGCTTTTCACCTATCTATTTAGGAATTAGATCTTGACACAAATATTAGAGAACACTCTACCTGCCTTATAAATTAGAAAAATAAATAAATAATTTAATCTTCATTTTCAGATCAATGATTAGTTTCATTTCTATTTTTTAGCAGGACAAAGGAACCAAGGACTGGCCTGGAGGAAGATCCCTGCACCTGGAGAGGGAGAGCCACCCTTACCTGTCCTCCTTTATCCTGGCCAGCAGTGGCTCGAGCCAGCCCAGGGTGCACTCACAGTGTGCGTCCAGGAATGTTATCACCTGCCCTTTAGAGGCTGCTGCCCCACGGAGCCGTGCGCGGATCAGTCCCGACCTCTGCTCCATCCGAATGATTTTTATGGAGACTTCCAGATTTTTCACATAATTCTCTAATGAGGCTTTCAGAAACTCTGCCAAAAATAATTGGGGGGGGGGGGGGACAAACCAAAAAAACACCAAAAACAAAGAAAGAAAGAAACAAGCAAACCACCAGAAGAAAAGCATTTTTAGTAAGGTTCAGCAAGTACCAAAGACTCAAAATGTAAGTGCTGACTTCATGTGTCATGCTTGGCCCTCCAAGGACGGCCATGCACAAACACTGCCCTTACACAGGAAATGCATTTTGACATATTTAGAGTTGCTCCAAAGACAGAGCTGAGCTATGGGAGTTTGCACCAACACTCTATTCCGGGCAGCCACATGGAAAACAGCCCACGCACATAGACACATCTGCCCAAGTATCTCATGAAAGCATTACAGAAATTTTAAAGAGTCATCAGTTTCCTTGAAATAAACCAGCAGTCAACAGGGAGTGCAAAATGTTTACACTTATTTGTCTATGGTTAATACAAAAACATCTATTTTTGATGAATTTCATCAGTTCAGCCCTTTAGGAATCCAAAACTTTACTTTTAGGAAAAAACTGTAGCTACTTGGGCTCAAGTCCTCTTCTACCTTCTGGCCCAGAGAAACATCAAGCTGACTTTTTCCCGAAGCAGGGAAATCCAGGACAGCAATTACAGTTAAGTTAATGCTACAGAAATAAAGGCTGGCTTAGCTTGCACCCTCTGTCCCTTGAACTGTTTGTTGTACCTAGATGTTGTATTTGTCATTATATTAATTTGGCTACTCCAGGAAAATTTATCATTTCATTGATTCCATTTATAGAACACAAAGTGATTCCTTTCCCAAGTAATAAGTTTCATGTGCAGTTTTCTTTCTAAAGCCTGGGTTTAAAATCCAGTCAGAGATGCTTGGTGAGAGGCACAGGTCCCGTTTAGCATGACAAGAAGAAGTCAGATATCACCACCCTTTCTGCAGGTGAAGTCTGAAGTGGCACTGAAACAACACACACAACAGGACTCCCCTCACCCTGAACCTACCTCTCTCACTGGCATCGTCCACCAGGATGATTTCCGAAATCAGGCGGTGCGGTGAGCGGTTTATCACGCTGTACACAGTCCGAAGCAGAGTGCTCCAGGCTTCATTGTGAAAGACAATAACCACACTTGTGTTGGGGAGTTCATCCGGATAGACTTTTGTCTTGCACCTGCCAAAAAAAAACCCAAAATAGAAGAAAAGGAAGGTTAATCTTTAAGAAAATCCCTAAAGAACTCTACTTACAGGACAGCCTGGAAAACGGGCTCCATGCCTGTGAGTGGGACACATTTCAAACCAGTTACTGATCTCTTCAAGCTCCCAAGCCTGTAGCCCGAAGGCAGAGGGGATTTGAAATTCTGTTTTCTTACTAAGAAAACACAGCAGAGTACCCAGAGGAAGGTGCACCGCTGCATTTCCAGCTGCCTCGAACTTCTCACTCCCACTTGGTATGCCAAGAAATCAGCTTCCAGCAGCCTCTGTATCAATGTGTGCTGACATCACAAACAGAAAACTCAGGACGTGAGGCAATTACGTGTATTGAGTCATTAAAGTGAGGTCAAATAAGTCTTTTCTTGTGAGAAATCCCAAATTCCATAGTTTGAAGTACATGGGCCTGAGACTTCCCAGTTTTTGGTGGTTTCTTAAAAGGAAGAAAAAATTACTATTTTCTATGGTAGTCTGTATGCCCATTCGATGGAAGAATCAGAAGCTGATAATTTCATTGGGAAAATGGAGAAATTAAGGCAAAGTGAGCAACAGATACCAAACACTGCTGATTTTGTGCAAGCAAATTAAAGTTATTTGCTTATTACATGAGACAACCCAAAATTCTGCATGTTTATTCCAGACCTTGGACACATTTCAAAAACACACACGCCTATATCAACCTGTTGACACAGGCCAAGTCACAGCACCTAAATACACCTAATAGGGATTCTTAACTGTTATGACTTGAAATAATTCGCACTTTTATATATATATATATATTTTGCTGTAGTCTGATTTTCTGGCTGTACTATTCCCACTGTGGTCTGAGTTCAGGAAAACACAGGGGAGCATGGACGCACTTTCTTCAGCAGTGGCACACACACACCAGTAAATAAAACTGCATGTAAAGGGAGAAGAAATTATGTATAGCTTTTCAGTGCATCTTCTTTGTAACACCACAAATTGGAAGCTTCCCTAAAAATTTCCAAATCAGTGAGTTATTTATTAGCATGGAATACTGTGCTCAGTTTTGGTCCCCGCTGTACAAAACACACAGACACACACCAGGCTTGACATCATTTTGATGATGACCACTGAAGTTTGCTTCAGAAGCCAACCCACCTTCCCAATTTCCTCAATCTAATTAATCATACAACTATCCATCAATTACAACTTAAAGTTCAGACAAACAAGTAACAGTCCTTTACTAATTATCACCATCGACAATACCCTCTCTTTACCCAGAAGTATCTAAAGGAGTGTGAGCCTAGCAGGATGGGATGTCCAAAATAAGGACATTTTGAATGTATTGTTTCTAAGGCACAGTAGAGGTTCTCCTCTCTTCAAAAGGTGTCTCATGTCAGCCCTTGAATCTGAAAGTCAAATATCAAAGACTGAAAACACCCTGAAACAGAGTGTAGTACAAAGCTCAGCACTGTTTATGTTAGAGTTGTTTCCCAGAGCTTAACATGATACTTCAAACTATACGCCAAGGTGGAATAAATTCTGCCTGTCCTATATTTCACAACAGTCATTTTAATTACATTTAAAACAGATGCAGTCTTGGAAATTGGAAAATAACTACTACATAACATTATGTTTAAAAATATTCTGAAAAGCATGCCAGTAGTGAAATGAGACAAGAAGGAAAGGATATTTCCTTGTCTGTAGTGTAACACTAATTTTGCAGAGCAAATAGAATATTAAGGATGAGAATGTTTACTATCACATCATATTTGCCAGGATCTTCAGTACTTTAACTATCGTTCTTATTATTCTTCAGGATATCTTACGATACCCAGGGAAGGTAAGGGCTAGATGAGCTGAGAACACCCAGGAAGAAGACATGCTGTATGTCCTATGTTTTGCAGCAGACAGACAAACCAAATTATCATAAACGTGGTCATAAAAATCCATGATAAGCATCCTTGAGTTCATGAAACAGCATAACCAGCTGGTCAAAAGAGGTGATGATCCAGCTATACTCAGTGTTGGTGCAGCCTCACTGACAGCACTGTGTGCAGTGCTCGGCCCCACTGTTTAAGGATATGAAGGTCTTTGGCTGTGTCCAAAGTAGAGCAACAAAGCTGGTGACAGGGCTGGAAGACATGTTCTCTGAGGACTTGGGATTGTCTAGTTCAGAGAAAAGGTGACTGAAAGGCAACCTCATTGCTCTCTGCAGCTTCCTGAGGGGTAAATATGGAGAAGGAGGCATCGATCTCTTGTCCCTGGGACCTAGGGACAGGATGCCTGGGAAGGCTCAATGCTGTGCCAGGGAAGGTTCAGACTGGACAAGATTAGATATAAGGAAGATTAGATATAAAGAAGTTCTTCACTGTGCGAGTAGTGAGACACTGGCACAGGTTGCCCAGAGAAGCTATAAGTACACCATTCCTGGAAGTGTTCAAGGCCAGGTTGTACGGGGCTTTGAGTTGGAAAGTAGATGAGCTTTAAGGTCCCTTCCAACACAAACCATTCCAGGATTCTATGGTTCTACGAGAAGCATGTCTTTACCAAGAGGGTGGCCAAACCCTGCAACAGGCTTCCTGGAGAGGTGGTCAATGCCCTAAGCCTGTCAATGTTTAAGAAGCATTTGGACAACGCCCTTAACAACATGCTTTAGTTTGGTCAGTCCCAAAGTGGTCAGGCAGTTGAACTAAGTCATCATTTTAGGTCCTTTCCAACTGACATAGCCTATTCTATTAAGGACCAAATTTTCAAAAGGCAACTGCTCTGGAGTCAGCAAACTGTGCACAGACAAGAAGCCATTAGAGCTTGTTAATTGATGGGTGCGTGTGTAACATAGCTGAACTCTTACCTTGCTGACACAAGTGTTACACGCCAGACACCTGAAAGCTGCCAATTCATTTCCCGCCAATAAGGCAAGTGCTCCATTTACACACTTAAACATATGCTGTTGTCCTGGATCCTATTTCAGCATTTCCTAACAAACAGCAATGTCACCGCTCCGTGGGGAACCTGCCATGTCCAGCTCAGTCATTAAAGATGACGAAGATGAAGTAAGGAGGCAAGCAGGAGATAGAGACTGAAATACTCACTGGTGTGAGGCTGAGACTGCTCTGGTTTGTAAGGTTATGCTTTTACCAACGTGCCTTTGTTTTCTGGTGGAAGCAAGACATTAATTAGTTTTCACTGAACTCAGTCGAAACAATTTTCATGAGTATTTAATTCACTTTAAAAGTTAAACAACAAAGATTGGTAATAATACAACCAGACAGTGGGTGTATAATCACTGTTCATGCTCTTAAAGTAATTCCCATTGCCATTTACAAGATGTGCAATGGAAAACAATCACAATCGAGCCAAACGTGACTAATTTGTACCCTGTTCCCCACTTTGCTCCTGGCTCTGTGTGGCCACGCTCAAAACCCAGTGCTAATTACACCTCTTTGCAGATCCACCTTGCTTAGAAGTCTCAGTGCAACCCCTTGGCCAGTTTTTCTGCACAGTGAGGAATGAATGCAGCACACAGATGGCCAGGGAGGTGCTGGAGATGGTGCAAGACCGGCATGAGAAGGGAGTGGTTGGGAGACACCCAGCATACTAAAACCTCCCTGTTCCAGACCCAACAGGCTATTGTGTGCCAATGGCTGCTCCCTCGCCTTCCCTCAACAACTGCAGCAACAAATACACAGCTTTCTACTGCAGTTCAGCTCTCTCATCCCCACTATGTCCAAGAGTACCTACCCAGGGACCATCTTCTGGGCTGACTATCAGTAGAGTGCACCCCGTGAAAGGGTCAGTGTCTCGGGGATTTGGGCTCTGTAGTGCCCTACCCCAGGGAAGGGGGAAGGACACACCTATTTCCATTCTGTCCTTGCAGCACACCTTTAATGGTGTTTCAGTCCCAAACCTAACATTCTGCTCACTTTCAAGTGTTTCTAAGTGCACAAAAAATAAAAACCTTTCATGTCCCTCTACTGAAATGATGACAGTGACTCATGCTGCATTTTTTTTCTAATTCAAAAACACACCCTGCGCTGAAGAAGCAATAAATAAGTCATCTGCTACTCACATGCTATCAAACACAAGGACTCCTCCTCCACCACCCCTGAACTATTTACAATGCATAGTGATTGTTCAGCATGCACTGACACTGGAAATACTTCCCCAGAAAAACTGGGTTTGCTCATGCAGTCATCAGATGTTTCTTCATGAATACACATGAAGTAAATACAGCTGCTTAAATGTGGGAAAAACACACATAAAGGAGTTTACTTTTAAATAGCTTATCACAGGTACTAAAACAACCCCATACATTTAAATGTGTTCTTATTTGGAAAAAGATCTCACATGCCAATTCTTACGAAAACGTTCATCAGTTCTCAAACGAGCTGAGGAAAACTCAAGTATTTATGGGACAACTTCAGCACCAGTATTTTTAAATACTGGCCCATGCCAACAACAGCAAGTGAAGGCATCTTCAATGGGAGTGAGGAAGTGGCAGATGTTGGACAGCCTTTACGGTGCCTTGATGCCTCTGAACTCAGGGATTTCATTTTGAAAGCTATCCCAGCAACAAAGCACTCCAACAACAAAGCTCAGCTATGTAACACTGTCAAAAGCCCTCCAAATGTTCATGATATTGATTAGCACTGCAGAACTATTCTCTGAAAAGCAAGTGGAGGGATGACCTGAAAGGACTGCCAATTTCAGATAGGCAGAGACTGGACAACGGTAGACCCTACCACACCACTGGTAATTGCCTGTCACCATCCTTCATCTTTCTTCCCCCTCCCAGCACCTTCCCAATGCAAACAGATGGCAAGATACACATGAAACTGCTTATTATGATAGACTACTTCTATGTTATTTGATGTTTAAACCTCACAGAGGACGGCTGGTGTGGTTTAGCTGCTTTGTACAGGTACATTTTCTGTAACACTTTGTTCCTGCTGCAATGAAGCCTGTAAAAGACCTGGATTACCTAAAAAGCACCAT